TAGTGTTCAGACAGCAACAAGACAATCAGTCCTTTTAGAGTCTGCAGTACAGCTTCTTCATGAAATATTATATTCTCATGCCTTCATGTTTGTAGGTGCATGACCACACAGTCTATTTACTGTCAATGGCTAAATATCAAACATGTTCTCTAAAAATTCACCCTACATAGCTCCTTATTTAAAAAATGCAAAGCTGAAAATAGCTTTAAGTCAGCAGAAAGGAAACCTGCAATTCCTCAGGCATTCTGAGTAATCGTATGAGCTGTAATTGAAAACTCCCTCATGCAATGTGACCTTGTTTGAATTAATTGGTTTTGGAATTACTGCTCAATAGTTCAGTAAATGTGCAAGTTTACTCATTGCCAAGCAGAGTGCTACTGGCTGAGAAAAGTAAAAAGGACAAAAGACAGCTCTGCATGTCTCACCTTTTTCAGTGGACTCTTTAGTAAGCTTAAGTTTAGTAGATCTGCCTACTATGACTTAGATAAAAGGAGGTGCATACACAGCTGATCTGACAGGTTTACATTACGCTATGTTTTCTAAAAAAATGAAGTCATTGTAATGCAGTGTGCTGACCACTTAAGGCTAGTATCCCTTGAAATCAGCAGTGCTTCATGCTGAGTTTCTCTCAAGATCAGCTGGAAATCCCTTAAGTGGACTGACAGGTAACATAAGACAGAAATACAGAAATCCAAGGTGCCTTTGTGTACCGTGACCCAATCCCCATTGTGCTGAAGTCCATAGCTAGGTAGATTTTTTTCCATCATTAATCCACTCATCAAGAAATACAGTTGTAGCCAAAAAACTTGTGTTACAGGAAAATGTGAAATAGTTTAAGAAACTGAAAATGATGCTTCCTTTTATTCATCAGCCTGAAAGCCAAAGAACTTAACTGAGGCCACTCTGTCAGTTCTTGTTGCTGGAGAAAGGTTTTGTACCACTGTCTGAAGTGCTTCAGTTCCTCCTTACAGGATATTTAGTCTTTTCTGCTTTAGCTGATTCAATCTGCATATAAAAGCAATATTCACCGAGCAGATATCCCACCTGATGAGTGACTGTCCTGAGCAGCAGGCTAGAGCAGCAGTATCCCTCTCAATAAAGGTGAAAGTGTTTTGCACAATGAATAATAATGCCATCAGGAGAAATGGAGCGTGGCCCCCACATCTGAACAGATGATAACCCGGTGTTCAGGTTATCCTGGATGGCCAAAGATGCAAATACCAAATTATTCTCTGTCCCCGAGAAGGGATTTTAACATGTTCTTTTGCTTCCACAACAGACCTTCCTAACTGCTATATCCAGTATCATTGCAATCAAGTATGTATTTCTGCATTCACAGTAAAACCAAACAACATCAGCAGGGAAAAAAACTATGAGGACACATAATGAAATAGTCTATAACACATGGAGTAGGTCACATACAGGACTCTCTCTCCATATAGGATGTATGACCAAAATAAGTTGACCTTCTCAGGCAAAGGGGAAACAAAGTGGAGAGTGGTTAATATCTTCCATGCCTCATCACTGGTTGTGTTTTCACGGTACAATCCAGTGTTATACCAGGGTATCTGAATTACTTTTCAGTAACGCAACTGCTCCCAGCCCTCTGCGCTGTTTCCCAAAAAGACCACACAGCCAGGGCTCGATATATACTGTGCTGGTGGTGACAAGGCTCTGACACCTCGAGTAGCCTCGGGTACTTTCCTGCTACCCTACCTGGACATTACCAGGAAGGAGCCTTCCCAGGTGACAGTGTAGTGTATACACGCGCAGATATACTCAGTCAATAGAGAACTGAGCTGGTACTACCTGGAAAAGTGACCCAGATTTTATGAACTCTTCCTGAAAAGTGAATTGTTGCTTGCAAGAGTAGCAGAGATGTAAGGCAGCAGGAGTAGTTAGTATGACTATCGCACTCTGTGACTTGCCATTCGGGAAATTACATGTTGTCTGTGATGGAAGGACAAGGTGGGAGGCAGCAGCAGCTGGAGCTGTACTTTCTCAGCTGTGCATCTGACAGCTGCAGCTGGATATGGTTCAGAGACAGAAAGCATACGCTGTCACTCAGGGCTTTTAACATGAAGTATTTTTTACTGGGTTCATTATCTCTTTGCAAAATGAGACGAGATGGCTAGAAATGCCCCAACCGCGATGAAATATGAGTCTTAGCAGGGGTCACACAGAGTCCAGGTCTCGCTTACAGTGTGTCAGCACTGCTGGCTGCCTCCTCTGCGTCGTCACTTGTCTCATTCATTTACACCTGGGGCAACAGGTAGTGCCCTACATCTTGTCACTCAGCCTGCATCAGAGATGGAGGAGCCTGGTTCCACAAATAATTAAACTACGTGGGTCTGTGCAAAAGTTACGCGTTCATTAGTATCACAGATATTACCAGTGAACCATCGATCATATATTTAAGAAGAGCTAGTTACTTGTGGTTCTTTTTTCATCTACCAGAAAACCCTGATATCAGAGTCTCTTAATAATGTCCTACATAATATTCATTATGGTTGCAACCTTCCTACCTTCTGAAAGCTGTTGATGCATCTATGAACATTTTAGGAAACCGCATGCTGTAAATACATATTCCATACTTTTCTAATTGAATTCATAGATCAAATATTGCATCTTTTATTTTAGATTTACATTTTTAGTTACATGAATTAATTTTTATCTAAGCCTGTGTGTTATGATTTAATTGCTTTACAATATCGATAAGAGGTAGTCATGACCTATACTACTAAAATTTCAAGTAATAATTAAATTGCAATGCCTGTTAATTTTCTAAGAAATTGCTTTAGTTTCTTTGCCAAGAAGAGTTTGTTACATCAGAAGCAAAAAGGGAATTAATGTAATATAATTTTCCTAAGAATTCAAAAGACTGAATTGGAACTGAAGGCTGATGTGAAACTTTGACCTTTTTGACATTTTTCTGAATGAAGCCTGTATAAATGTCAAATATCTGCCAACATCATTTTCACATTTCAGGCAACTGCTTCTTTTACAATTTTCAAAGAAGGCTGGAGAAGTAAGATTTTTGAATTATAGTAAAGAAAGGAAATGAAGCATCTCCCTCCAAAGTGACAGGAGCTGAGGAGAGAAATATGAGAGAGTTACCCCTAGGGTTGTAAAAATGAGAACTTATTTGGCAACTGAAATTTTCAATTATATAGTGAATCACATAATCCTTACTCTTCTTGTAAACCAGATAAATATTTCTAATTTGAATTTTTATCTAAAATAGAAGCTGGGGACAAACTTGCTCAGTGGTACAGAGATAATACTTTGAATACAGAACCACACTCAGACCTGTATACAGTCTGCAGGCTTGGAAAGAGTTTTGGCTCAGGAAAACATCTCAAATAATATTTTTTTCTCTGCTATGTCAATATTACCTCACCACCACAAAGCAGGAAGATTACATATTTGGGCAAGAAAATCTACCTGATAAATCATTCCCGAGATGAGGGAGAAGCCACGTGTGAAACGAAGGTTAAGGTTTTCAAAACCACAGCATTCAACCAGAAGACTGCTAATCAATGCAAAACATTTTCCTAAGTATGAAAACACTAAGATGCAAACATATTTATTGCCTAATCTGATTATTTTTCCAAACATATTTTATTATTCAGCTTTGTTGCTCTAGAGAAAATAAAATAAATTCCTTTCAGTGAGAATTTTGGGTTTATCTAGCATGTAAACTCAAGACAGCTTAGGTTAAAACCAATCAACTTGGTAACCCAAGTAATTCTGAAAGTATTCCAAGCATGGAGTCAGACACTAAAATAGATATTTGGTTGTGCCTTTTGCCATGTAAAGTTTCTTCCTAATACTCACACAGTACTGTATTACAAAGATGAAAATTATTCTCTGGGGTAGCAATAAAATCTCATTTTATGTAATGATAGCATCTCTATTAAACATAGGACAGAAACATCCCTAGAGGTGGCACTGTAAGCCACAACTTCTGGTTTTACTGCTATATATAGCAATTAAAATACTATGTTTAAGATAAAATAACATTTTATGCTACTTCTGGAATGCAAATTCATGTTATTTAACCTCAGCTTACTTCCTTTCTAAGCTCCCACAGTTCTATTACACAACACTTGTGTCAAGCAAATAATTAAAAAAAGTATTTTTACATGATACATTTTGAGCTCTATTTTTACCTTTTGTAGATGGGTAGCCTGCACTGAAATTTAATAGCATGTGGCAAGGACAACATTGTAATTAGGAACTGACATTAACATATTTGGAAACATAAAAGTGAATTTGGATCACTTAAGAAAGAATACATATTTGTTATAGATTTCATTTCAATTATTCAACTGCTATCTGTGTAATCTTTTCCCTACTAATACTAATATTCTAAAATTAATAAAGCTATTATCTTTGCTGGGCAACTAATAAGAGAAAAGAAAATTGCCAGAAGAATGTTGAAAAGATCCTAAAAGTGAATGGTGTACCAATGAATGCTAACAGTTAGTGATGAGTAATAGCAGATGAGTGAACCTTGCCCTAATGTTTATGATTCAGTGGATCAATATCACTGGTTAGACCTTTTCTAGAAGTAAGCAGTTAGTGCCCTGTTATTTGCTTGTAAGTACTTAGACCAAATAGTTAAAATCTTGCATCTCGTTTTCTTTTGGTAATTCCAGGTACCTAAATTAAAATCAATTCAGCTGATCTCATCTGGAAGATCAATTACTTGGTAGATAAAACAACTTAAATGTCTAACCTAAATGCTACCATTTGCACTTGCATTTTTATATTTGCATGTGTGGGAAATGAAGGTCCAAAGTCCAGGTCCATTACATTATGCTTGCAGGATTTTCCCCAACAGGAGCTTATTCCAAGCCTCAGCAGTACAGCATTGCAAAACCAATACCGGTATCACTACACTGGGAAATTGTTTCCAGTGTCAAACATCCTATTACAAACAAGATGACACATTGCTACATGCAGGACAGCAGAAGGAGCAGTGTAGATTTGCTTACCTGTGGTAGACCTGATAGTTGAGGTGATGTTGGAAGATGCCATCGCAGGTATACATTCATCATCTTGGGAATAGCCTGCCTGAATGGCACGCAAGTAACTGTGGCTTCTTGTTCGGAAACATCCAGGGAGGTCAAGGGCATCCATTGCCTGAGCTTCAACTTCACTAAACACTGATTCACACACCGATTCAAATTGCCCATTAACCTCTGCTTCACTCATCTGAATAAACAACAACAATGCATTTGATTTTTGACTTGCTTTTTTGTGATCATCACGGCCTCAACATCTCAAATGGACACCTGTACATTGATGAAGAACTGTTTTAGCAAATAGTTAAAATGTAGTAATCCCTTCTGATCACATTCACATTTTTTTTTAATTTAAATCAGCTGTTTATATGTATATAGTAAGTACATCACACATGCCATACAATTAATTTTACATTTAATATCTTCTGGCATATTCAGAGGATTGTAAATACATGATTTAATGGTAACCAACCACATCACTTTGCACTGATAGACATCCATGTTCTGCCAGGACAGGAGAACAGAAATCAGCTATACTACTATCAGTCCTCAGAATGTGAAGGTGGATTGCCTGGGTTCCTCACTTATCAGCAAAGTTACTACTCGTGTGGAGATTTAGCCTGTGTGGCAGTTGTTAATGTTTCTCTTGCTATAAAGGGGCTTGAGGAAGTATTTTACACTTGCAGATGTGTAAGTTCAGAGGAGCTGATGCTTCTGAAAGGTTTGAGAAAGACTGCATCTAGAGTTGTGTCCAGTGAAGCATATGAAAGAATAACCATTGTCTGAACTAAAGGGAAAAGTGGTCAGGTAAGACAGTGATGCTTGGACCACCTTTTGCTGAGAAGGGCCCTAAACCAAATTCAATCTTTGGTTAACTGGGTTAGCCATTCAACTACCATGGAAAATTGGACACAGCTGCTACTGCTGCCTTTTCTTTGGCAGCATTAAATCTGATACTTTTGTCACCAGCTGTGCTGAGGAACCCTGCCTGTCCAAGCAACCTTGACGTGCCTACTTGCAACACCTTGGGGGATGTTAGCGCCACCCTCCAGCGCTTGGGCAGGATGGGCATGATCATAGAATCACAGAATTTGTTGGGCTGGAAGGTACCTTTAGAGGCCATCTAGTCCAAACTCCCTGCAGTGAGCAGGGACATCTTTAACTAGATCAGGTTGCTCAGAGCCCCGTCTAGCCTGACCTTGAATGTCTCCAGGGATGGAGCCTCCACCACCTCTCTGGGCAATCTGTTTCACCACCCTCATAGTAAAGAACTTTTTTCTAAAATCTAATCTAAATCTACCCTGCTTTAGTTTAAAACCATTGCCTCTCGTCTTGTTCCTACACGCCCTCGTGAAAGGTCTCTCCCCAACTTTCCTGTAGCCCCATTCAGGCACTGAAAGGCCACTGTAAAGTCTCCCCAGAGCCTTCTCTTCTCCAGGCTGATGCAGTAGTGTACATTTTTAGGTAGCTTTCATGATAAACAGGGTTCAGGCAGGCTGATCAGGCTTAGGGAACCTCTCAGTAGGGAACTGTGTATTAAGTTTTGAAGATGAGTGCCTAAAATCTACCTACATCATTTTTTAATAGGTTCTCTGAATTCAGCCTTAACTTCATGTAAATGTATCTGAGCAATTCAAAATTATGTTTATTCAAAGTCAGTTAGGAAGTTAACACTGGACAGACAAATGCACAACTTCCTGATATGTCCTCCTGATATATTTTTTTTAAAAAAAAGAGAGTGCTAGAAATCAGAATCAGTATAAATATCAAGTTAAATTCGTAGCATCACTAAACAGTACATCCAGTTGATATTACTTTTTCTATATGGCTGCTAAGTGCGTTCTTCATTATCACTGTTTCTAGTACATTATTCATTATGGAAACAGAGGGAGTGCAAATGTTTCAAATGGTTTAGGATTTTTGATTAAGTAAATTGAAATTTTATATGGAACTTCTGATGATAATGAATAACTGATATTTTAATTTCATGTATGACATTTTGGCTACTAAATCTCTTCTGAAAGAAATTACATTACCCTTCATAAAATCTGCTTCTAATAAAGTTAAGTAGACTAATGCAATCTCGAAAAGATTAAAAAAACAATCTTACTCTGAAATATTTTGCATACATCATTGATCAGCAAATTTATGGTAATGTAGTCCATAAACACTTTGTCCTAACTACTTCCTTCAGACTAAAGTCACTGACAAAAGAAAAAAATAAAAGTTTTAGAACTAAAATTAAAAGCATAAACTATGGAACCCAGCATCTTTCCTGACTCTATCCTTGGTCAAGGATGAAAATGGAAAGATCTCATCAAAAAAAGGCATTAAAAATATCACAAATCATGCAAACTGAAGCTATGGAGATGGGATAAGAAAATGACCATGTCATGAAAAAGAACAGCGAACAGCAAAGGTTCAAAACTTGTTATTTTAATACAGTTACTTTGTGTGGCATCTATTAAATGCATTTGTAACTGGTCTGGAAACAGCTAGACTGTGAGGTAGGATGTATGTGATTGACTCAAAATTACGTAGGTTAGTGAAGACTGAAAGAGAAGGTAAGAAACTATTTCCAGAAGGTTTAGCTAATCTGGCCTATTGAGCAATCTATCTGCAAATGAAATCTATTGTTGCCATCTTTCCATGTAATGCACATTTGAATGAAGATTTTTAACCACTGCCGAAACCAATTAGTCATTATGGACACTACAGTGAACATCTTCATGCACAGACACGGTCAAAGAGGCAGAAGATGTTAGAATAGTTCTGTATTATAGCACTGTTAGGTAACAGCCAACAGCATCTGCTTTGAATGCAGAATATAATTCTTGTGAAACTTTCTCAAAACCAGAGTGTAATAAAAATAGAAGATAACCAAACCAGGGTAATGAAAACCAAGGCATGAGAATGATGGGGACAGGTTTCACAAGGGAGCTATGGAAAATAATGAAAGGTTTGGAAAATGACTGACTGGCTGTTTCTAATTCTGATGTGTGCTCTACAAGATTATACTTAGATTTATCCCACGTAAATTAAGGAATTTGACTGAAGGGCATTAGTCAGGCTACTAGTCCCTCCCAACTCTCTACAGTCAGTGGAGACTGACAGGCGTTTCCAGAGGGCTCTCAGCCCACTTGGGATGTGCATTGTCCTGGAAGGAACTCTTTCACTCCATTAACTGCAGAGGAAGCTTTAGTTGTTGCCTCAGATAAAAGCCTCAGGTTAGATGAGCTGAATCCAGGCCTGAATAGTCATGCAATACAAATTGAATGTGAATAAATATAAAACTGCTTTAAAAAGATTTTTTTTAACATAACCACTATGCATAATTAGCTACTATACCCTTAAGTGCCTCACTAAATGGTCAAAAGAAAAATAAATCAACAGGTGTCTGAGAGTAGGGCAAGGCGCACCTGTCATGAAGCAACACAGGGAAGAAATGCCAGGACCAATGAACGTTAGAAACATTGGTAATTTTACGAAAAGTCCTCTGCTAAACAGAACATGCATATACCTCAGGAGACTACTTGCACTTCAGGCCTGATTCAGATCTCACTTCAGCATGAATTAGTACTAACTAACCAACATAAAACCAGCAGGGTGGAAAAATGTCTCTTTTCAGAAGTCCCCATACGTAGAATAATTGAGGAGACTTATTCTTTCACTCAAGAACAGTGAGAAACTGAGTTTAGAGATGAATCACTGCTCCTTTGGAGCATAATTATTTCAATCTATATCTTAATCTGGCAACCCACATTTACTGAACTCAGAGCAGATATTTTCAGAGGATGAGTATTGGAAGAGTGTGCCCCTTATGCTCAGTTTGAATCTTCTTAACATTTAAATACTTAATACAGACTGAAAATCAAAATACTAGTATCTATACGTTTAATGAAAATCAAATGGAAAATAATATGAGTGATAGTGTCCCTTTGCTTCTAGCATTCAGTGTATTTCTTGAAACTTTGAACAAGGTTTACATTCCTTAGAACTTAATTACTTCGACAATTCACATCCTTAGTTTGGCATTAATTAAAAAAACAAACCAAAACAACCCACTAAAACCAACCACTAGTAATAACTCTCCCATCTGTGATTAACCTATAAGAAAAATTATAACAAGAATTTCCCACCTGACTAACACAGCTGGCCTGACTGAGCGTGCTCACTGCTCTCATATAGCTCTGATTCCGTGAGCGAAACTTTGGGGAATTGTAGTTTGCAGAGGGATCCAGGTTGTGACCCCCAGGCACGTCACTTGCAGTTTGAAGGTAGCTCTGACTACAAAGGAAAGAGGAAGAAAAAAAGGAAAGGGTGTAAAACTACAGATGGAATCAATTAGGACACTAAAGACAGTAATTTGTATGAGACTCACAAATCCATTCCCCAGGGTCCAAATCTCTCCCTCTATAAAGCAGCATAGATCTCTTGTAGTCAAACACCTTAGCACAGGCAGAGAATGTGTCTGCAGTTCTGCTACCTAGTCAATATGAAATTTTAAGTCTTTGCTGTATTTAAATATAATCAATCCTCCTGGCTATTAAAGCTGAACTTTACTAAAAGAGAATGTTGAGGTCAACAGGAACAAGAACCTGAGCTAATGCACAAACCAAAGTAACTAAAAATCTTTCCTCATAGATAAAATCTGCTACTTGTCATCTGGTTTTCATCAGGGCGTTAGGCATCAAGAGACCTTTTATCTTCAAAGGATTGATATATTTTTACAAAAGATTAAAATATCCCATGTTCAGCTAAAAAAAAAGAAATAGATTAATAAGGTACTCGGAGCAACTGCACAAAGCTGTAGAAATGCTTTTCTTACAGCACATTTACCAGTTTGGTAGATTGGGACCTTAACACCACATTGAGCCCCTTTCAGTATGCTTTTGCTACATGGGTATGCTAGTCTTCATGTTCTCTGTTGAATATATTGATTACCTATCATTCCAGGAAATAAATAAGCTTAAGCAAAGAACAGTACTTAGCTTTAAATACAAAATTTTAAAAAATGAAAGGTGCAAACAAGGTTTACGAGAATCCTCAGACCCTCTGAAAATTAGATTTGAGAAGTCATGTGACAATCATCCCTAAACATAAGGGCATAAATTAATCAATGTATCAGAAAACATTGGTTTTCATGTGGTAAACAGGCAGTTTTTATATTTATTTCTTGAAGGTAGCTTCAACAAATGCACAGTTCTGGGAACAATAGATTTGTGCTAGTTGAATGTCTGTCAATATCGGCAATATGGTTATTTCAAGCTGAATGGGCAGTTACTCACTCCAGCAGTGGCTGTGAAACATGCCCAGGCTGTCAGAAATTTTCCTGGGAAGGGGGAAACTTCTCTGGAAGGACCAGATCATTTGGTGGATGAGAAAGTCACAGGTTCAACTCTTGGTGCAAAATGAGGCACAAACCAGGACCTTGCTTCTTAGAGCATATTTGTCACACACTGAGTGTAGCCATAGGCTGGTACAGAGTCACCACAGACATAGCCTGGCTTCCTCACAAAATCATAGAATCATAGAACTGTCAGCGTTGGAA